TTGTGCACTTTGTTATAGCCCTCATTAGTTCCTGATGTCTCAGTCTAAGGCAACGTTCCTTTCAAAGGAAATCAGGGTTCGAATGTCTCTTGTCAAGAAGACATCACAGTGATGGGAAACATATTTTATTTTATGCAATCTCATTATCTAAACTCTGTCAGACTTCTGTGCTTGCCTATTTGTTTGTAGGTCCAGTTGGGGTTAACTTCTGTTAAATATAAAGTAAGAGGATGTCATGTAAGACATGAAATATAAGGATTCAATACTGTGGAATTCACATGTTCACATGTGTAATACATTCCTCGGTGGAGTCCCGAGCAGCAGTTAATTCAAATCCATAATGACCAAAATCATTATTATGACACATGTCTTTGCCTCACGGTGAATACTATAAATTAATTAAAATACTATGATGAGTGTAACCTTAAAATAGTGGAAACTACACTACCTTCAATGAAAATGTACATGTGAAATTGAAAATAAATATATTAGGAAACACAATATTCACAGTGTTGATGTTGTGGTGGTGACCAGTTGTCAAACTGCAAGAATAACGCTTCCATGATTCAACATTTTACACAGTACATGTTAGTATACTGTTACTCTATATATGCACTGTGGTTTATCACAAATACATTGGCTTTAGAGTACTAGTAGTAGTTGTAAAGAGAACGGCAAAGGATTTAATCTCAGGTGAGAGGATATTGCTTTGGGACCCCTGTGACCTATAATACATTATGCCCCCAAAACAAGTTCAGCAGTGAGAACAGCACACAAAATGCCAAATGTCAAAACAAATGAACCTATACATTTCACTGTTGACCTTTCTCATCTGATCTTTAAGTCTTCATAACAAATAAACAATCATATTATTCCTTCAAGCCCTCTGAAATCACTGCTGACAGGTGAGTATTTCACAAACCAGAGTAGCAGTGAGAGATAAATACTTATGGTTTAAGACCCTTTTCGTTTGATTACTACATGAAAACTGTTCATAATGCCCAACATTAAAAGCAAAGACCTGTAGGAAGTTACAAAAAAAAAACAATAGAGGGAGGAATTTGAATTCCAACACCTATGACCCACAAACACTTGGATGTTTCATTAACGTTGCATGCTAATTACCAGTTGGCAGCACAGCAAGAAATTCAAAAGCATACTGTTCACAACCAGAAATATGGCACCACGTCAACTAAAGGACACAATCACACTCAGCAAGCCCTCGGCCCAGAAGGATATTTACACTGGCAGCACTCCGGCCTTGGAAGAGTTTCTGCTCTGCTAGGCGACGGCTTCTTCACGTGGCAGGTTGAGCCTCACCTCCCCTCCTCCTGCTGTGGAGGCTGAGTACACTGCGGTGCCAAACGCAGAAGAAGAGCCGTTGGTCTCCATGGTGAAGAGCGTGCAGGGACTTGGTAGGGCCGCGTCAGGAGCTACCTTTTCTGGGCTGGATACCTGGGATGATCCACGGGAGGATGTGGGGCTGAGCTGCACAGCTGTGGTGTCCTGCAGAGTGTGCTCACTGGTCTCTATTTCAAACGCTGCACCACCAGCCAACCCTCCATGTCCCATCAGCCCTCCACCCCTGCCGCCCACCTTAGACCTCCGTGAGCTGTTTGGAGGGGGGAGGCGGCTGCACACGCAACAGGCCCCGAAAAAGGAGAAGGCCACCAGCAGCAGGATAGGTCCGATGATGATTGGGGGATTGGCAGAAGGCACCAGGGTGCTGAAAGCGAACGCTCCCACCAGGGTGATGTTGAGTCCAGCCAGCATGATGCACAGGCCGCAGGCGCAGCAGAGGGCCGGGGAGGGCAGGCCATGAGGGCGAGACTTCCTCCTCGTCTTTTTCTGCAGCTCTTTTTTAGGGACAGGGGTACCAGTGTTTCTGTCAGTGATGACCATGTCTTCACCTCTGTCTCTTCCACTGTGGTGTCAAATCTCAGTCCAGTGTCTTCCCCATGGCAAAGTTTAAATCAATTCACAGCCAGGAAAACATCTGTGTCTGTAAATAACAAGAAATGGCAGCTGTTAGGCTTTTTTAGGTACTTTCTTTGAAAGTAAATAAGCTCTGTGGTTACACACATATTTGACAACTCTTGTTCTGTGCACAAGTTGTACTGGACAGCTACACACAAGCATCACTCTGGTATTCCTATCAATTACACATGTCATGATATATATCTGTAAAACAATGAGCATTATTTGATACAGTTAAAGTTGGCTCTTACAGTAAAACTGTAATCTCTTACAGCAGAAGCCTTTTGAACTGTACATTGAATTAAGACTATGCTTTTTGGCTCAAATTCTATGTTAAACAATAGATAAGAAAAGTACATGTCATGTGACTTAGATAAAAAAACATTGAATCAAACAATGATTATAAAAGAGGTAATGATGGGTTTTTTCGATGGAGAATTTGACTATATTGATACTTAATCATCACACAGTGTAAATTAGATGCACCCTGACTTTTCATCCTTTATAAAAAAGTCACAAGTGTTGCTTAATAAAATATCATGCCTGATGAGAATTGCTATTTATCTTATCTTGTTTCGTGGAGTGAAATGTGTGTAATGGCACTGCAGCTGCATCATTCCTGCCAGCTAGGCCACTATGTGAATGGCATTTCAGTATTTAGTTGCAATCAAATCAGCCCTTTCATTCCAGCATGCATCCATTCAAGAGCATTCACTGCACATGAGGAGAGGGGATGTGGGGAAAGGAAATCATTGTTGTTAATCAGTAAATATAATACCCTGAATATATTACAAACATTAGGCCTACGTTTAATAAGAAACTATGATTTGCAAAGAAAACGTGTAAACGCTTAGCCTGCTGAACTGATGTGATGCATTCCTGTAAAGATTAACCCATGAAAAATCAACTTACCCTTTATGTCGATATACTGAAGGTCTTCCCATTGTTTGATCAGTAGATTACCACGGAGATCCCAGGTCTAATTACCAGGTGAAAATACAGAGAGGTTGAAAGGACGCATAAAAACCAAACGAGGGGTTTTCTTCCTGATTTCGTAGCGTCACAGTCCTGAGGGCACAAGTCATGACAGCCATTCAATCACAAGAGCGAAGCGATCCGAGCTGATGTGGAATATAAAATCCGAGCAGAGGAGAGGAAAGATCAATTATGTGAGATGGCATTTCTTCTGACTGAGACACACAGACGCAACACGGTGCGCTGCTCCCGGTGTGAACCGAGACGCACGTAGCATCTGACAGGTCACCCCGCAACGGAAATGGAGGGAAACCGCTAAAATATGCGAGGCATCTCTCCGGTAGCCGGGGTTGAGTCGTCATATTTCATTTTTACATATATGTGATGATCCGCCGTGCAGAGCATCTTCTCTCCACCATGGACCTCTGGATGCGACTCCCAGACTCCTCCTTAACCATCCATCCTTTAGTGTTCAACTCCTGTGTGTGTGTGTGTGTGTGTGTGTGTGTGTGTGTGTGTGTGTGTGTGTGTGTGTGTGTGTGTGTGTGTGTGTGTGTGTGTGTGTGTGTGTGTGTGTGTGTGTGTGTGTGTGTGTGTGTGTGTGTGTGTGTGTGTGCGCGTGTGCGTGTGCGTGTGTGTGTCTGTGATGAAGGCTGTTGCATCTTGCCTGTATCTCACGAGCTCACCTTTATGTAGGCTACTTGTTGCTAATTTCTCAAGGAACACACAATGTGAAATCATGTCATTAATAAATAAATAAGCCAACACAAGTGTGCAGTGTTATAAATGATTGTAAGTCATTCTTAAATGGTCACTCATTTGCATCCTAACCTTTGAAATTCCATTAAGTCTAGTGTATTGTGGTGCATTGTGCAATAGACGTGCTTAAGTCACTGATACTCACGGTAGAAAATACTTGAATACATGTTAAAGTCATGCATTTGAGTATTTTATTCAAACAAACTCATAATGTTAATCATTATTCAATAACCTGCTGATACTGTTCTATACTTATTGACTGATAGATTGTTTGATTTGTAAACATAGCAAAACATGCTATCTTAAGTATAAAGAGCGGCCCAATGTGATATATTAACAGTTCAAACCTCAAAAACTATAAAAACAAATTCAAATATGAAATGACAAAGCAGCAAAACTTTGAGCTGGAATCATGAAAAATATATTGTGCAAAAAATCCTAGTTTGTAAAGCAACTACACCTTTCAAATCATTGAACTGGAGATAAAGCTACAATACTTCCCACTGAAATGTAGTGGAGAGTAGAAAGTGCAAAGTAGATGTATCACAAGTAAAGTACTAAAATACATGTATTTAGTTACCTTCCACCACTGTGTGGCTAGATTTGTGTGAATTGACCCTTTAAATGGTTCCAAGTCTGATTTCAATGCGAGAAAAATGGGAAAGGCTGGTTTCCATTTTCATTCTCAAGTTTTAATTTCCCAATTATAAGTTGAGTTTTAATTGTCAATCACATTCATTAGCAATTAAATGTTTGTTATACGTCGCTCCATTGCTAATCCTCACACAGTGTGATTTGAAGCCTGACAATCAAACTGCTGCTTGTCATCAAGGCACTGCAGACTCCTCGGCTGCTGTTGCCGACATTATTCAGCCTCACAGCACGCCACAGTTTTTGTCAGAGCGCAGCGTTCTTCCCCACGCCACTTGCAATGCAGCAGCCATTCTGCCTCTGCTGTCCTGAATATCAATGTATTATGTTTCGCTGCGGGGGTACTGCTCACTGTGTAGTTGTTGTGTCTACCTGTACACATGTATTCCAATTTGCTTTATGTTTGTACTGTATGTGGCCTGTAACAAATAAAGGCAGGGGAATTGAGCTGATTTTGATTGTCACATAATGACTGTAATCATAATTGATGGATATTGAGAACATTGTGACATGATGATATGAGCTGCAAGCAATTAAAATGACTGTGTGTATTTGCTTCACTCATTGGAAGGAAGTTCTGAAATAGTTTTTCAAACAAAAACGATATAATCTTGGGAGACGTTTATTAGGTCATAAAAACAATCTCGACAAGCGAGCAAGTTTAGGAGATAAGAGGTCTACAAGAGATCATCTTCTTTTAAAGAAACCTAAGAAAGAAGGTTTAGCAAGGTTGGGCATATGTTGACGTCATGGCAGGTCTTGGTCTCCAGTAGGCTGCTTAAGTTTCCGTCTAGATAAGACGTCTGGCAGGTCTGAAGTCCTGAAACACACCAGAGCATTTGCTTCAATTACGGTCATCCCCTGAATCAGCTACACAAATACTAATAATACTAATAAAACTACTCTTAAATGAACTGTACTGCATAATGAGTGTATTGATATGTGCACAATGTATTAAAATTAACGTCAGTGATTAGTTTAAATCAAATTTTTTCCAAGTATTGCTCAGTAAGCATGATATTTTATTTAAACAACATTAGAATTGGGAGGGATGAAACCCCTCTTTAATGGTCACACAGGCAGAACACAGCACACACAGTGAAATGTGGCCTCTGCATTTAACCCATCCTAGTACCAGGAGTCTAGTACTACAGGAGCAGTGGGCAGCTATTGTACAGCGCCCGGGGAATTCAGTTATTTCAGTCTATCATTCATAATTTTCCAAACAAGGTATGACTTCTTTGGATCATACCTGAATATGATGCTACCAGTAAGATAACATTGGCATTGCAATAAAGGTGGCCCTAGTTAACCAAAATTATACAATATGCTAAATTTGAACATCCCCTTATCTCCTCTAAACAGTCTTTAAGGCAACAGAAAAGCACATGTCTTATGTAAGAGTTTGTGATGGCTTTTTTTTCAAACATTTTGCTATGGTAATAAAATACCTAACTGAAGCACATACACAATTATAGAGATGACATATAGTTCATCATGAAGCATGACCTAATTAACACCATGTGCTTTTATTAAGTAATTAATCTGTTAGTTTCAGGACCTCATGACCTTTTATTTTCAAATGAACTGCTTTGTAGTTGTGTGACCCAATAAACCAGTGAAGTAGCAGAATACAACTTTATCCTATTAGACATGTGTATGAAATGATCATGATTTGAGTGTGAATTCTTATGGCTAATAATGTATGTGTAGGGTTCATACTGATCTTCACTTTGACTACCAAATTTGAAGAAATGTAAAAAAAAAAGTAAGGTGCTCTTGAGATACTCAGGCGTTTTTTAATTACAAGTTTTCTTGAAATAAAACTTGTCTCATAAAATATTTGCTAATTAGCATCTGCATTTGTATTTGAAAATGAATCTACATGAAGAGATATTATGTTGGACTCTTACCCTTCATCTGGGTTGGCCTCAGCCATCGGTCCGCCCTCCAAAAAGGTTCCCATTCGACTCTTGGAGCGCTCCAGGTTGAGTTGACTCTGAGTCCCTGCCGAGAGCAAAGGAGAGCAGATCAACACGTAGTTAAATTCAGAATCATATTTCCAGTTTCACCAGGCTGTATCAATATCTACACGACTTCACCACTTAAAATAATGAATCTTTTTTAATTGAACTATATGCAGAAAAACATTGGGAGAAACCACTAGTAATATATTTTGATAAACTGACATTCATATGAACATGTTCAACAGGTGTAACTTTAATGCGATTCCCTTAGCAAAAGGGCTTTTCTATCACATATGTCCTTGATCTCATAATGCTTTCCATCTAGGCCAAGCAAAAGCAGTTATGAAAGAAGAAAACATGCTTGTTTTTTTACTTTAACGGCCCCCAGAGAGATGACTGATGCTCTGCAGCAGACACAACACCTCTCACTGGTGTTAACTCTCCAGTGAGCGGACAGGTGTCGGATTTGCTATCAACGAATAAACGACCATGAACTAAATGGCTCACTATGAAGACGTAAACAATTAATAGGCAAATTCTCTATCCTTCTGTTGAAACACTAAGGAAAGAAAACCATGAAGGCTCGCTCACCTTCTCTTCTTATTGTCTCTACAAGTTGATCGGGAGCGACATTGGCAGTGGGGTGCACTCTGAAGTTTCCTGTGAAGTGAAGACATATTCAGGGACAAAATAACATTTGACTTTAAATACTGATAAAAGAATATACATATTGAGGGTTCAAACAATGAATACAAATATTTAACAACTTACCAAAGGATGGAAGAATATTGTTGATGTTCAGCCAGGCTTTAATGAAGGGGTAGATTGCTATGAGCAGGCCTGGAAAGCAGATAGCATAAAACTAATATAGTGTCATTATCACTATTGGTTTAAGAAGTAGGAACGATACTAGTGTGAATATAATCTTTCGTTTTTCTTTGACCTGCATTTGTACTTTAGTGGCCTGAAACTAACTAGGAGTGTAGAATACTAATCAGTCTGCTAATTGCATTTGCACAATGGCCATATATTGCATGTGAGCCACACCAAAAGATAGACACACTCCCATGCTCATTTAAATCACGACCGGCAATAAGACGATGATGAAACAGCCTTCAGATTATTTTATACCAGATACAGTGTGTGATGTTTTTTGATGTTACACTCAAAGTATAAATTGATGTCTGAACCACAGGGCTTGTGTGCCTCTCTGTGGCACTGTGCTCCAATTCCACACAGTTATTGATTTCCCTTATAAGCACAAGAGCTGACATTAAACACTGGCAGGTCCTGGGGGTGGCTGTGATGCATGCATGTGCTTAAAATGTCATGAAACTGCAGAAGGAGAGAAAAAAATCTGCCAAGAACACTCTGTTCATACTCATTAGTCAGCCTATGTGTCGGAGGAGGCATCAAGGCACATAAGCCCCAAAACACATCATTAGATGCTACTTAGCTGCACGAGAGCTGCTATAGTGAATGTCTCGGTCAAGCTGCTGTCTACAGTTTTGATTTGCCAATTATTTGTGCACATGAGTAACACAAATTAATTATTGAGAGCTGATCAAATCATCAGCGAGAACACGTTTACCATTAACAATGCATGCTAATGTTGTCGTCCTCGGATCAAAAGCCCTGGCCTTTGCTTCTTTCTCTTTCTCACTTCTCCATCTTGGCAGTGAAACTCCTCAGGCTGTCAGTCGCTTCCAGTTACACTGATGTATCAAGTGATCACATGGTGTGTTTTTCAAGGATGGCGAAGGAAAAATGTCACAGGCCACATGCTCTCACTTTAATTTGGGATTTTAAAAAAAATTGTTCATTCCTCATTTTACATGTTGGATATTAACTGTCCACCTCAAAAAATGTAATTCATGTTTTACTGCCTCATTATTTGGATTCTCCCAGATTCCACTGCTGTGTACTGTATGTAAAAAGAATAATGATCATTCCAAATTATATTTATCGTCTTATGACCTAATTAAAACACAACATCTAAAACAGTAGCTAACTGGTATTTCCTTTTTACACAACTTGAATATTTTCTGGTACTTTATCTATAAAGAAATGCAAGTAGTGTAGGTTCTCCTTTATTAGGACTACAACTACATTTTTATTATCTATTAACCTGCCGTATATTTGTATTGATTTATCTATAACATTTGCATCGACTGATTGATTCGTCTAATTAGTGTTGAAGCTTTGTCCTACCTGGTATAGTAACTTGATGTTAGGGCTCAGTTATCACATTTTGGGCAAAATGGTATTCAACTTGACTAATTTTAAAGAGGTAACGCAGCATAAAATATCCTGCCAAAAAAATAAATAAAAAGTTATCCAACATTTTTCTATAGCGGTGTCTAAAAACATGTCATAGAGTCAATATCCTTTGGAGAAGCCAGTCTTGGAAAAATTTGGAAAAAGTCATGAAGTATTAAGGTGATCAAAGAATGTATGTTTTAAGTTGTTAACATTAAAAAATCTTCCATCGATATCCTGTGACACTATAGAAATAATCAATGGGTTTTGTGGCTCAAGGCAAAAAGCATGAAGACAAACAATAAGTAACTACGGTACTGTAAATAGCTTTTCTAAAACTGGGTCAGTAGTTAGAAAGTTTCACACACACTCACCGAGGCCTCCCGCTCCCAGGAAGATCCCTCCTACAGCATCGGCGTCACACTCCCTGGACACCCCGATGATGATGCAGCCCGCCACGATGCCGAGCAGGGACGAGCCCACCCGCAGCCCGTGGTACTCCCCGACGCTGACGGGGTTCATTCGGCAGGCGGAGGCCTCAGGGCCCTCACTGCCACTGGCAACTTCACTATCATCAGTGGAAACCTTTCCTCTTCCTCACTTTCACTCTCTGACACAGGAATACTTTCTCTGACAGAGCCTCCATCCCTATTCTCCGTGGATCAAGACGTCTCATGCATCTTTAAAGATGGGGCTCTGGTTTCCATTGCCACTGAAAATTAGAACGCTTGGGTCTCTGACTTTTACATGAAAGCGATACGTGCGATACAAATCTGATCACAGCGCTCTTCCTACCAGCACCGGCATCTAGTATCACTGGATGCCTGGAGAGTAATTTAGGAAATATAAATACACTAAAACAGCTGTGTGGTATGTATTGAGCATGACAGAGCATCCAGGACTTAAGCGTATGACACAGTGGTGTGAGTTCAAGGGCAGGGACACAAACAGAGAAGGGGGGATGGAGGAAAAAGAAAGGGCAACAGTTAGAGAGAGAGAGTTAGAGTATGTGCTACTTTTGAGATGTGTCTGCAAGCTTGAAGGGAATGTGTAATGAAAGGTTCGGAGAGTCCTCTACGGTGGGGGCCCGAGGCCACGCAGAAAGGCCTGCAGTTGCCATAGGAATAGCATATCCATGGCAACAGAGGGAAAAAGAGGGTAAGGAGGATTAACACCGGTGAATAGGAAAACAAATGAACTAAGTGGGGAGAGAGGAGAAACCGTGACACATTTCCTGTTCAGCAAGTCTATGTCGACTTCTATTATTATCAATCGATGCAGCTGTGTGTGTGTGTGTGTGTGTGTGTGTGTGTGTGTGTGTGTGTGTGTGTGTGTGTGTGTGTGTGTGTGTGTGTGAGAGAGAGACAGAGAGAGAGAGAGAGAGAGAGGCATAGGCAGGCCCTACCTGTGTGACCCTCCTAGCGACACACTGTCAAAGGATATATATTTTTTGTATGTCAGAAAAATAAGTAAAGAGGCCAATACATGTTTTTTTCCAAGATTAATATTTATTTACATTTGTGAGAGGTAAAACCATCAGTATTTCAAGAAAAATAGCAAATATGAGATGAGTGACGGAATAATGAAGATATGATTTGTAAAGAAGAGAGAAGAAGAAGAAGAAGAAGAAGAAGAAGAAGAAGAAGAAGAAGAAGAAGAAGAAGAAGAAGAAGAAGAAGAAGAAGATAAAGTGCAGTGGTAATGTCCATCAAAAAGTCTTGCAAATGCAAAACCTTAAAGAAGGGAAAAGTTATCCTCGTCGTAAAGCAAATTTGGTCTAGAAGATTCTCTGGGCAACTGAGAATAAATATTTTGCCTTGTACTCACAAGGAATTATTGTGAAGGAAATGCAATAACATTGGCCGGGAAGGAAATACTTTTAGAGCTTGCTTGCAGGTGCTAAAGTGGCACACCATCTCTAACGTTCACATAATGAACACACTAAATCACCAAAGCTTGAGCTATTAGTGTGGGAGGCTGTGCAGGGCCATTACATGTGAGGCAATAAATGTTAGCAAATGACACAAATGTATCTAATCTCTGAGGTTAATGACACTGTGCCCTGTATAGGCTTACGGGTCTCAGGTTGCCTCTAAGACATATCATTTAGAAATACAAATACAAACAAACTTCTGATAAACAAATTATTAAAATATATAAAAAATTCAACTTACATACATAAGAAAAGCAGATGATATTGTTGCAACATGTCATACGTTGAAATTATGAAGAAAACCATTTTTGATTGCTAAATTCTCCTTAATCTCCAAAAAGATAACATGTATTTATATTTGAATACAATTTGGCTGTTTTCTTGTGGATAACAAACATAGTTATAAGCTATAAGCGCATGTTATGTTTAGCAGCAAAAAAACTAATCAGCAACGGAGAAATGCTGTGAGAGCAGTGACAATAAAACATGCGTTGGCCGGGAATCGAACCCGGGTCAACTGCTTGGAAGGCAGCTATGCTCACCACTATACCACCAACGCTTGACAACATTTGAAGGGAAACGCTGAATTTTTTTCCCGTTTGCAGCCGAATTGGTTATTCTACTAAATCTGAGCTGGGTTGCAAAAACGAGGGACGCTTCATGCACACGAATCAACGAGGTTAGCTAGGGAGAGCTATTAAACCACAATCTGCCAGAAATCACAATCCTCTAACCAATCAGGCTTCAGACTGAAGTTAGGACCACCCACCTCATTAGCAAACAGACACAGAAATCAAATAAGTGAACATAAATGTAAAAATACATTAAATATATAAAATAATGTATGTTCTGTTTTATTCTCAACTTTTATTTATACATCCATTTATTGCCATATTTATTTATGCATTTTTTTCTTATATTTATTTATTCCTGTATTTATACATCCATTTTTTGCCATATTTATTTATGCATTTTTTTCTTGTATTTATTTATTCCTGTATTTTTTTCCAATATTTATTTATTATTTTATTCATTTATTTCCGTATTTATTCATACATTTATTTATTTATACTTATGTTATGTTCCTATCTACTTTCTCACATACAATGATGCAAAAGTATAGACTACAAAATAAAATACAAATTTCTACATAATATAAAAGCAAATCAGGTCTGAACTTTGGTTTAAATAGTGAATCGAAATGTTCAATGTAATGTCAAGAAATAGAATAAGGCTAGTTTGCTTCTTAACAAGTGTAATGATCTCCATTTAGTAAAACATATAGGGGGCTTATTACTGTTATTATATTAAAATACGAAAACATGCGAGAAAAAAACAACTTTGGATTTTTAAATAATGGATGTTTGTTGCTATAGTTTAGTCCACCAGATGGCGGTGTAGTCTGTGGCAGACAGCTGTGAGATTGATAGAAAACATGCAAACACAAAGACATGTAAATATCATAGGCAACTTGAGAATGCTAGAAAGAAATTGCTAGTGGGAATGCTTTATGCTGAAAAGCTGACGCTAAACTGCTATGCTGAAATGTGATGTGTAAGAAGAAAGTGAATCATTTAGATTGAAATGATACATGAATACTGGGGGCTTGAATGTGTGATAAGAGAAGAAAAGAAAGTAAAAAGGCTTGGAAAAAGCAGCAGAATATTTGAACTAACTTGATGGCGAATGATCTGTCGCCATGCCAACGGCATTTGATGACATCCCATAATACGCTTAGATGCGTTGATGGCTGCATCGTTACCAAACCTGTGAAGTTTTGGGCCGTTTGGAGCATTTTTACTGAAGTTATGAGAAAACCGTATTTCATGGTGAGCATTGTGTTGCCATGGCAACGACATTTGAAGAAATCTCAAAACTGTCCCGTAGATGTCTTCACGGCTGGACTCTTAGCACACGTGANATTATCTGAAGTCTGGTGCTCTGAGCATGTCAGTTGGAGTTATGACATCATCGTGTTCCATGACACAGGTGTTTATATTTGAGCAAACGACATGTCCAGAGATCAAAGGTTTCCATGGTGATTTGCAGTAATCAGTTAGAGGAGAGCATTTTCATTGTTCTGAATGAGAGATAAACCTCTTACATGTGAACGTTTTGTTGAAGAACCGTAACAAATATTGGTGAAATTTCAAAGCGTGAAGCATGTCAAGGAACTTGAGCATCTGAAGTATACTTTTTGTGTACTTTCGGGTTAATAATGTGGCCTTTTTGGTAGATTAACTAAAGGTGTGTGGCTGATGTGATGGGGGGAAGATGTGGCTGAACTTACATTGGGCTTTAATGGAGACATGTTGAACGTTTTTGTCAGTTCATGCCCTCAAGAGGCATTCTGTTTAATTATTTTGCTTAATTCTTTTTTATCTTTCAAGCTACAAGATGTTTTCCTATGTTTGTCATGAAAAATTATTTCTAAGGAATTCTAGGGTTTGGGAATTATGGCAGGTTTAAAAGAAAATATGAAGGCAAACTTAAATCTGTCCTCCACTCTAGCTGTGACATCACGCACTCTAAAATCTGAAGAAGGCCTCTTTATCAAGCTCTAAAAGGATAGGAATCAGATTTAAAAGTTGTGTTACACGAATAATGTCAGAAAGATGTGTAACATTTTAAAGTTGGAATGAGGTTTCTGAGTGAAAGTATGAAGGACCAGTTAGCAGTTGAAGTTGCATGAAGATTGTTCAAGTCTGAAGAGTTTCTTCATTGACTTCCATGTTAAAAATGTGATACATTTAAGCAATAGCTCACGACAGGCCGTGGTATATGCTCATTATATCACAGCTAAGGGGCGTGGTTCGGCCCGACGCGAAGCTAAGGCTAAGAACCAATCAGATTGCTTGTTTTGACTTGTCCGTTTTATAATATGGGATATATCTCTGGAATTATGAAAGTTATGAATGATAAAAGTAATAGCCATCGATTCCCGACCGAGCAGAACGTTTTGATGTTTGAACGGAGCTTCTGCGATGTTCAATGTGGGAGGCGAAGTGGTGCAAAATAACCCGGCAGAATAATAAAGAATTTTGTGCGTAGCATAACAGATAGTTGGAATGCTGTGTCAGCATTCCCACTAAAATATATACCTTGATAAAACGAAAATGACTGTACTGTAATCAAGTATGGAGGACGGAAATTGACGTAAATTTAAATAGATAAATGTAAGTGAACGTATTCGGTTTTATTTTCAACTTGTATTTATTTATACATTAATGTATTAATTTGTCCTCATATATGTACCTATTATTTATTTATTATTATTTATTTCCTATTTATCTTAATATATATTTATGCATTTGTTTAATTCTTCATATATTTACTTCCGTGGGTATGAATATTTTTATGCAAAAATCTGTGGCCAGTACGGGTATCGAACCCGCGACCTTCGCGTTATTAGCACGACGCTCTAACCAACTGAGCTAACCGGCCATGCATTATATGGGTACAGTAACCATTTCATACAACATCAGACAAAATACTATGACACCTATCAACGTTTATTTAGAATCTATGCAGTGATACGATTTTTGATCGGAACTCGTGGCGCAACAGTAGTGTGTCCGACGCCAGCTCAGGAAGTTGCGTGTTCAAAATCACGTTGGGGTCGATCTTATTAATTTTACTTGTATTTATATGTATAAAAATAGACCTAATATACAAAGCAGCGTCTCAGTTAACTTCCGTCATCCCGCCGATTGGTAAAGCTTCTATATATTGAAGCAAAAATGATGGGGTAGGT